GAGCCGAACGCCGGTTTCTGAAAGCCGAACGCCGAATGGCTTGGTTTTTGGCTTGGGCGAACTCCAAGTGTTTTGACCCAAGTTTAAACTTTAAGAAAAGTATTTTTGAATATGTAAAAGAGATTTTTATGAATTAAGCCTAGAGAGCCAAGATTTGGAATTTTGTGCCGGTCTTGATCACATTAAGACCGACTCAATACAATTCTAGTTCTTCGTTCTTGATTCTGGGTTCTTGGTTCTTAAGTCATCATGCCATGTTCCTTCGCCTTAGTTTTGCTTACTTTAGCTTCGATATGTCGCGGCGGTTTGGCATTATCAAAACCTGTCATAAACGAACACAGTTTAGTGCGACGAAGGCGTAAACCCGTGTTCCAACAACTTTTTGTTAAAAACTTATTTTTATGGATATGTCTCGAAGAGACAAATCCAACGGTACATTTTTTGAACCAATCTGAATTATAGATTTCAAACTATGACGATTTTAAATATTAAAATTTGTAACTTTGACTCATAAAATAAACTCAATCCAAAGGTGATTTCATAAGATTAGAAATCATAATTTTGACACTTGACAACACCATATCTATCATTTGGATTTAATCCATATATTTTTATCTCATTCATATTATTAAATTAACTTATGACTGAGACAAACCTGAACACTGAGAAAAATAAAAGTTTTTAGAAAAATATTTTGATTACGTCAAAATTCTAGTTTTGACAGTCTCATTCCAAAAACGCGATCCGTTTTCAAAACGGAACAGTTTGGGCGAAAAAGCGCGTACCGTTTTAGCCAGTTTATTAGTTACGGAGTAGGAGAATATTTTAAAATCTCCAAATCTCTTCAATCACGCATGCCACCTTTGGGAATCCTTTAAAGTCTACAAAGCCACCTCAAAATCTCCAATCCTATACTAAAAACCAAAGAATATAATTCCACTATATCACCATCACCATCATTCATCCAATTCTCCTCTCCATCTCTCTCTCTGTCGGCAGCCAAGGAAGGAGGAAAACCAACCCACCAAATTTCATGGTTCTATGATAAGGAAGAAGAAGGAGGAGCAAGAAAACTATCCAAAATTTCCAAATCTTGACTTCAAAAATGCAGCAGCTACTTTGAGGTAAAAACTGAAATTTTCCATCCATTATCTCGAAATACTTTTTGAACCAAAGTTGTAGCCCCGGACGATACGAATCCAGCCCAACAAACGGCTCGCGATTTCATTAAGTAACGAAGAAGATATGACCAAAATACCGGGACTGCGCCAGTGGTGGCGAGTTCCTCGGGTTGGCATGTTTTTCTTCACCAAATTCATATTATTTCATCCCAAATACTTACCATAAACTCTCTAACAATTATTAGGAACATCCAGAAGGTATCGTAGAGAAAGTTCGGCGTTGGAACGTTGAAGTTAGTGAGCTAATCGTCGGAATCATGTTCATCGACATACCCGAAATTCTGGACAGCAACTTTCCATTGACTTCAGGTCCAATTTACGCTATCTTACGTCTGTTAAAACGAAATACTTTCTATACGAAAGTTGTAGCCTTACATCTTAGGAATTCACATAATCAAACGGTTTGTAATTCCGTGAAGAAACGATGGAGATATGCCCAAATTACCGCAAGCTGTCCAGTTGTGACGGAAATGACAAAGTTGGCAAATTTCGATGTTGTTTCCACTCCCGCTCATCCGTAAGGTTTCGGCCGATGATTTCCAGGTCTGTACCCTTGCGTTAGACTTGACGAATCATTCATCACATACGTACATGAACATATATGTTAATCCATATGTTGAAACTATCTCTAAAATATATATGTGATGCTTATATATGTCATCTATATGTTGAGATCAAAATACACCAAATCCATAAAGTTAATATACACATAAGTAGATATAAACCTTGGAAATCAATCCAAAAATATGTATATGTTAATCAAAGGTGTTTAAAAGATTTAAAGAAGTATTTTGTACACTCAAAATATCAAGAGAAAGATTCGCAGATCCAAACGGTCGATGCAAACGGTCGACCGTCGTATTGAACTTAAAAACGAACTACTACTGTCGACAGAACGGTCAACCGCCGTAGCCAAACGGTCGACCGTCGCCTGCCCAGCCGAGAACCACCATCGCCATCCAGTCAACAATGGTTGACCGCCGGTCAACCACGGTCGACCGTCACGGTGATTCTCCAACCCGACGCGATGAAGTTCAAGGTCGACCGTCGCGCCAAACGGTCGACCGTTACAAGCCCCGTAGCTTAATTAAATGATATTTTTATCAGATTTCATCCAAACAAAATAAAGTATATTTATCCAGTCATGTTGTTTACAAATTGTTCATATCATGTGATTCATTTCATCATCCATATTGAAACATATCACATCATGTGCATGCGCAAGAGATCAGGCAGAAGTGCGTCTCATGTAGTGTGATGTGCGGGACTTATTAGTCCGACATCACCCGTTCCGGGCTTAGTGTACGTACATGGTATTCATGTTTTGAGTACCACCCCTATCATGTTATCATCATCAAGTACATCTATTACATAGGTGTCATGTAATCATCATCAATAACAAGTATATTGATTACATAAGTATCATGTAATCATCCTCACAAGCAATTTGATTAATTGTGCCATCATGTAATTATCATTAAATATTTACCATCATGATTCATCAAATTGTCCATATGATATAATGTGCCATATTATGAATATTATTATTATACTTTTTGTGGACAAATATATGTAAATGTATATGTCTATGAATTATTCCACAATTCTAGCATGGTACCACTCAGCGGTTTCGCTGAGCGTGTAGTTTGTATTTTTCGTTGACTACACGTAGGTAACAAGAAGACAATGATGGAACCATTTCCGGAGGGCATTGAGTCAGAGGAGATGCAAGGATGGCAGGCAAATGTTTGATCATCAGATTTTTAAAATGTGTCATGATTAAATTATTATTGTACTTCCGCATTACTCTGAAAATATTTTTAATTGGGTCGTGATCGAGAGTCTGTAAATTTAATATTTTTAAGTAATTGTCATTTTCAAATGTCAAGCAAAATTTTTATTTAACCCTCGTTTCACCTTAATTCGTGTAATTCCGGATTATACGAATTGGGGTGTTACACGTAGGTCGCCCATTGATTTAAGAACCTTCTTTTTTGGGATGAGGACAATAGCAGTGTCATTAAGGTGGCGAGGTGACAATTGTAGTTTTTTGGGTAGTAAACCTTCCCAGTAAAGGGTTGGTTTTCTCTCCGAGTGTCGTATCTCTCGAGGAGTGGACGAAGGGAATTAGTTTAATTACTCTAATTAGGCGAAGATTAGGATTGGTTTATGAAAGTCTTCTCGGAACGATTATAAAAAGAACAAAGTAAAAATAATAAATAAAGGTCACATAGTATAAGTATAGATATGGACATAGTGTCAGGACATCATTTGGATTTATTTTATCATATTAAATTAACAATTGAAATAATAATATTTCTATTACTACTCATCCATTTCTAGATTTTTACTTAATCCGTTGTACTTGAATATCATAGCCTTCGGCATACAATATTTTCTCAATAAATGGCCAATTAAATCCTTCGAGTTTAATTACCCAAATAAGGCAAGAACAATAGATTAACCATTCCAACATTAATTTAACATCAAAAAATAAACAACCAAACTAGTCCGGACCTAGAGATCCGGACCCTAACTCATACTATGCAAACATAAATTAAAACATCATTTTATTAAATAAAGAAAACTTACAACCTCCGTAAGAGCGGAAGAGAATAGATCTGGAGTCAAAACCTCCGAAAATACTTCAAAACTAACTACTACAACTATATTACAAACTATAATGGAGATGGGAAGAGTAAATCCCGAAGTTGGGATGAAGTTGGATGATAAAAATGAGAGGGATCGAGCTGTATTTATAGGAATGGATCCAAGGCATCCAAGTCAAAGCGTCCAAGTCCAAGCGTCCAGATCTGGACACCTTAGATGTCCCGGCCAACCAGGTTTTGCCACATGTCATTCTTGGGCTGCAATTAAGCTGAAGCATCCAACTCCCAAGCGTCCAAGTTGGACGCCTTAGGCCCTTCCCTTGTTGGGCTTCGCGGCTGGTTTGTGATTTTGGCCCAATTTCGCTCCGTTTTGGCCCCAAACACTGTTTTTGACCTCCCGGAAGCTCGTTCAAGCCCGAATCTTGATCC